GCCGGCCGGCGAGGAGAGCGGCGAGGGCGGGAGCTGGGCGCCTCGCAGCGCCGGCCGTGACGGACGGCCGTATCAGCCAATGGGCGCAGCGCACGCGGTGGGGCTACCGCATCCTGCCAATGGTGAGTTGCGCCGTGCCGAGCGCACTCACGTCGGCGGCGTCGCGCACGCAGAACGGGGCTCGGTGGCGCCGAAGACCCGGGGCGGAGCGCGGAGCTGGTGCGGGATGGCGCTTTGGGCCCGGGGCTGCGGGGGCGCGGGCCAAGGTCACGAGGGGCCCGGACGCCCCTCTGTGGAGTCCTTGGTGGCTTGCTCCGCCTTCGCTGAGCCGGACCGCCCGGCCAACGGTCTATGTGTCCTCAGCAATGCGGGTCACTGGGATCGCGCAGCGTCTTCCGTTAGGACGGGACCGCGAGCTCACGCCGCCCTCGCGCTGGCCCTGGCAGGGCTGCACCCGTGTTCGGCTGTGCGCTCGGAGACGGGGCCGCACGGCCGCGTGCGGGGCGCGAGAGAGAAGCGGGGCGCCCACTCTTGCCTTCGCACGGGCCGGGAGCAGCCGCCGCTCGCCTGGTGCCCCGCGTGCAGGTGACCCTCAGCCAGGACCCTTTTGAACAGGTTGTTAAACAGAGCCGACAATTGGAAGAACGAACAGATACACTTTAAGTAAAATGAGGAGTTTCTGTGCTTTGAAAGGCGCTAGAATAGGCAGGGCTTAAATGGAGCAGGATAAAGTGGGCAGGTCATGGCGGGGTCAGGATGGGTGTATTTAGGTGCTTAATGTGTTAAACATGGTAAAAGAAACGGAAATTAATGCACCCCTCCGATTACAGTATTTGCTTATCTGATTTGGCATAAATGTGTCTGATCATTGTGCAAAACCCTAAAGGTTCGAACTGCTTTGAACCCTAAGTATGGCAGGATATCCTAGGTAGAAGAAAATAGTTCAATTATTCACTTACTGATTTGAGGAAAAGTCAGTGGTGCTGAATATGAAAATGAAAGCTTCTCACTTGAAACACAAACTGGGCATGGCGGCACATGCGCTTAATCCCAGCCCTCTAGGAGGCTGAGGCAGGAAAATCAAATCTGAGCCCAGTCTGAGCAATTTAGGGACTTAGACCAGGTCTAAACAAAAAATAGACATTTATAGATAAAACGATGGACCTGGAAACCATACTCTTAAGTGAAATAAATCGGACATACGTGTAAATGTCACAGTCTCTAGTGTAAGAAACTGAAAGTATAAATAAGAACCAAAATGTAGAATAGAAATTGTGAAAGAGGGAGAAATTTTCAAAAAAGGGGAAAGGGGAACTAGGGAGGGGGAAAGGAAGGAAGAAAAAAAAATGAGAAAAATATAAAATGTAAATGAAGTTTTATAAATAAAGGAGGGGAAGAAGGTTGGAGGAAGGGTAGGGGAATGGGAAAAAAGGAATCAGTATATCTTGTACAGGTACACATTCCCTATGATGAGTGTGATCACTATGTATATCTAAATTGTGCCAACAAACTTTATTTAGTTGTTTTTTTTTGTTTTTTTTTGTTTTTTTTTTGAGACAGGGTCTCACTGCAGTTCAGGCTGGTCTTGAACTCACCTTGTATTCCAGGCTGGCCTCAAATTTGTGATCCTCCTGTCTCAGCCTTCTGAATGCTGAGATTACAGGCCTGCACCACCATGCTGGACTTGTACCAATTATATTTACTTTTTAAAAAATAAAAAAGGAGGGGAGAGCTAGGGATGTAACTCAGTGTGAAGACCTTGGGTTCAGTCCCCAGTACAGAAAATAAATAGAATTTTAAGAACCCACAGACAAGTGAAGGGAAGAGCACTGGGAGAACTGTTCTGGGCTCCTCCTGCTGTGTAGGGTCTGGTGGAGGTGATTTGGGTTCAGCCTTGCTCAGTGCCCCCAGGCTAGAACATCACTGTACTGCTTGGGTTTCCAAAGTATTGGCGGCAGTGGTTGCTGGCCGGTGTCTGCAGCACAGGCTGCGTGCTGGTAACAAGTATACACAAGGCAGCTGGAAATGTTCTACGTTTCAAGCGTCATCGAAATCCAGTGTCCAACATACGCATGGAAACCCGACCTGCATGCACAAAGCACTGAACTTGTAGCTTTGCAAGCAGTGTCTGTGGCATCCTCATAGCCTTGGCGTGCTGGACTCTGTGTAGGTAGAAATGTGGGGACATTGCCCTGAGAAGGAAAGTCGGTGGCCCTGGCATCGCCTACAAAGGCTCTGAAGAGGGGCACAGATGGCAGCAGATGCTCCACCCATCTGAATGCGCAGTACGCATCTGTTGTATACGTGTGGGGCAGGGTTGGGCACAGCACTGAGCCAAGAGAGTGGCCATGTCCCCTCTGTGGAGTCTTGCGTGAAAGAATGTTGTGCATAGCCCGCTGTGATGGGGAAGAAGCACAAGGAGAAAGCACAACTGCTTACCATCAAAGAGCTGGAGGTGGGGTCAGAGGAGACACCAGGCTGCTGTCCCAGTGGCTGCTCTTCCCTGCGGGAGTGCTAAACTGAGCGCCCACCATCCTGGGAACAGCTGCAGGGAGAGAGCACAGAGTCCTTGAGGGCCACTCGCCTTGGGTGAACACAGCACAGACCCAGACAGCAGGTGCTTCCTAGGAGAAACCTAGGGAGACCTCAACCAAGGCCAAAGCCCAAAGGGAGGGGCCCATGAAAGAAAAAAACATGAGTTACGAAAATCAAATTTTCATCAAAAGACAATGAAAAATAAAAAATATGAGTCACACTGGTAAAATACCTGTAATACATATATCTGACAAGAATAAGCAGAATTTAAGAGAACTGCTGTGACTGGGAGCAGTGCCATCTGCCTATAATCCCAGCTACTTGGGAGGCTGAGGCAGGAGGATCCTGAACTTCAGCCTAGACTAGACAGACAACAGTGAGACCCTTTCTCAGAGAAACAGAGAGAGAAAGCTGCTGTAACAGTTAAAAGGAAAATAGGAAAGTCTTTATTTTTTGTTTGTTTTTTGAGACAAGATCTTGCTATGTAGTTCAGGCTGACCTCAAAGTCACTATGTAGCCCAGGCTGGCCTTGAAGTTGCAGTGATACTCCTGACTTAGCTTCCCAAGAGCTACAGGTGGCTCCATCACTCCTGCCTCTCAATTTTCAAACAGGTAAGAGCCTTGAACTACTACTTCACAAGACAAGATATAAAAATAGCCAATAAACACATGAGAAGATATTCAGTGTCATCACTGAAATGGAAGCTAAGACCTGTGACCTAACAGAAAATGCATATTAAAGCCTATAATCCAAAAAATCCTGGGACTGGGGAGTATAGCTCTTGTGTGGACCACCTGCCTAGCTGTGGGGTGGGGGTATAGTCCCAGCTACTCAGGGTACCTAGGCCAGTTTCAAAGCCTGCCTGGGCAACTTAGATAAACTGTCTCAAAATAACTTTTCTTTTTTAAGGTACTGGGAATTGAACCTAGGGCCTTACCAATGAACACTTTATAAAAAAGAAAAACAGGATCTCACTAAGTTGCTAAATTTCCGAGGTAGAACTTGAACTTGCAGTCCTCCTGCCTAAGCTTCCCAGAGTACTGGAATTACAGTCACACACACACACACCCCTTACCACTGGATCCAGCCACTCAGTATTTACTGTGAGAAAAGAAATCATATGTCTCCAGAACATTTATAATGACAGCATTCATAATGACCTGGAAGTGAAACAATTTGAGTCCATGTGGTAAATAAAGGGCTGCCTGGGCAACTTAGATAAACTGTTGGGTTTCCAAAGTTTGGTGGCAATGGTTGCCGGCTGGTGTCTGCAGCACAGGCTGCCTGCTGGTAACAAGTATACACAAGGCAACTGGAAATGTTGCTAAGCATTGGAAATGTTGCTAAGTATACAGAAGGCAACTGGAAATGTTGCCCCAGGTGGTACTGCTGCAGGTGGTGGAGCCCTTAGATGTGGGCTCTTTAGGTAGCTGAGGTGTGCCCTGAAGGGATTACTGGGTGCTTGTCTCCAATTCTTCCTTCTTGTTTGCTCCCTGGCCGTGAGATGAATGATTTCACTTGGCTATGGGAGTCCACCATGATGTACTGCCTCAATCAACCTCAAAAGAAAGGGGGTCAAGCAATCACAGAGTAAAACCTCTAAAACTGAGCCCAGAATTATCTCAGGTGTTTGATAGAGTAATGGAAAATGGAATAATGCAGAGAATGTCTTCAACAATCAAATAAATACGCTAGTTATGGGGTGTCCACACCAGGGACTGGGGACAGGCTATCAGGGACTGGCACAGGCTGTGCAGGGTCCTGTTCAAAACCACCACCTTGTGCTTCTGCATGGGCATTCTGTGGAGCGGGGTGTGGTGGCACACTCCAGCACTCAGGAGGCTGAGGCAGGAGGATTGTAAGTTGAAGGCCTACCTGGGCAATTTAGCAAGGTCCTATCTCAAAATATAAAAAGGTCTGGGAATGTAGATTAATGCAAAAGATCTAGGTTCAATTCCCAGTACTACAGTAAAGAAATAAAACAGAAAATAAAGATTGCAGGGTATAGAGCTCAGAGGTAGGGTACTTGCCTAGAGGTCCTGGATTCAACCCCCAACACTATAAAAAGCACAACAAAACAAACTCTACACATGACTTTGGCACAGATACGTGGTGGCTAGTTGGATATTTAACATCTACACACTATAATATATTTTGTTGTAAAAATGAAAGGGCTATTTGTGGTGATACGTGTCTATAATCCTAGCACTCTGGGAGGCTGGAG